AATAAGATAAAAGTGGGTTTTGTTCAAAGTAGCTATTAGCCACATAAATCTTTGATATGAATGAATATTTTTTGGTAATTCATTAAATATCGCCGGCTAAAAAGTAACTAGTCTGAATAGTTTTTGAGAGGAGTACTTTGTACTATTACTTAAGTACTGTTTTGGCACCAGTACTTTTACTTGTAGGCCTAATTGAGAATTGTTTCAGCGGCCCCACTTTATATTAAGTGGCCTTAACTACTATGTACTTACATCAAAAATTAAGTACAATGTACTTATTGTGTTCATATTGTATTGCAAAGCACTTTGTGTGTTTTGCCTGTCAAGTGCAATACAGTTTAACGTGCATCACCCCTTTCCACTTCCCAGTAGAATGCACCATTAACTTGCTTAATTCAACACTAAACATCACCGCTTCACACATCTGTTTACACTATGTGACGGATTCACTCAACTTATTCAACAGCAATCGAACCAGAGACTGTACAGTATAAGGCAGAGATGGTTGCCTCATGAATGGGACAAATTGTTATACAGTCTGAAGTCCTGTTTTCCAGTTGAAATAGCACATTTTTAATAGAGACACCAAAGTTTTCAGTATGGTGTCTCATCAAGGCTGCATTTATTTGATTAAAAATACCATAAAACAGTAGTATTGTGAAATAATAATACATTTTTAACTCTAGTAAAATGTAATTTATTCTTGTGATGTGTTAGATCATGCCTCCATGCCAGATAATTAAGATCCAGCCCCGGACGCCAGATCCCATCAGAAAATATCTGTTTTTGTCTGGTAACAGAACAACTCATCAGCAAAGCAGTCTGATACCCAAAACCTCTTACAAACAAGTCTTGTCTGGTATTAACAGTCTTCTATCAGCCAAGAAGTTGACCGAGGAAAAAGCCAGAGAAGAGCAGAAGCAGGAGACGAAGTGGTGATGATAAAAAGGAGCAGAGTTTATTGAATAGTCTTAAGCCCTATTCGCACGGGATTAGTATTACCTGGTGACCTCCAGTCATTTGTAATAATTGCGGAGGTTGTCTGTGACCTTAATCCCGTGCGAATCGGCCATGTCTGTAATTTGTAAAGTAAAAATTCCCCCGCAAATGACCTACCATATTTCGCCGAACACCGAGGTCCTGTGATAATATTAGTCCCGTGCGAATCGACATCTCTGTGATTCGGCCAGCATTTGACGGGTCGTATATCATTTTTCGAGGTTTTTGTTTGCTGTGCGCCTTTTTATCCATCTTCCGCAAAGAATGGAGCTGCGTTGGAGTGTTTGATAGTATTTTGGGTGCTGTCATCAGCAGTGTTCGAACTATACAGTGGACTTTGGGGGAGCCTGAGTTCACATGAACAACGGTTAAAGTTACTCGTCGTCAGGCTTTCGAGTAAAATCACAGGCTTTGCTTATCCCGTGCGAATGCACCACACAAAATTCAGATGTGGGGGGCTAATTTCAAAATCACACAAGGTCCCCAGATAATACTAATCCCGTGCGAATAGGGCTTTAGTTGCGTATGTTTCAATGCTCAGACTTCGTCTGACCAGCACAAATTCAAAAGGTATTGTTATACCAAAACTGCTTCAAAACAACATCGAATAAACCTTGAGTTTCCACAAACATTCTCTTGTATCTCTTATTCATGAAGACTAACAGCCCTTGAAACTAGGGCTGCACGATAAATCGAAATGGAATCGAGATCGCGATTCGACAGAAGCTGCGATTGTCATGTGTATCTTTCAGTGAAGCACGGTTCTGTGATCAGCAGTAAATCTCCATCCAAAGGCCAGAGGGCGCTCTCGTGCTGAAACTCCAAATACGCCTCGCAGAAGAAACCCAGAAAATGCCTATAGCTGCAGCTGAATAAACAGAAGATTAAACTGCTTTCATTGATTCAACGTGACTAATAAACACACGACTACGGCAATATACGGTTTATCTGAGTTCTTATTATAATTTTCATTAAAATAAAGTATATTTATAACGCAATGCCTTTATCACTGCTTAAATACTATGAAATATATTGCGTGCCTTATTCTGTG